CAGCACAAAAGCTCCTGGGGTGCAAGGAGTTAACTTATTCAAGGGGGTTTGGGGAAAGGAGGCATATGGTGTCTCTCCTGCCAAAGGGTCCTATGGGATCAGGAGAGCACTGTCCCCCTGGCTCTTGGCTCCATCAGTGCGTGGTCAACCCCAGGGCCCTCCACATGCCCAAGGCCCCTGCCAATCCCAGCCTCCCCGCTACTTCTGACGTTTCAGGGGCCATTGTTTGAGGCCTAACTGCCTGCCACAGCACAGTGCTCAGAGCCCCCGCCAGCCATTCCACCCGCTGATCCGCGGGGCTGCCCAGAACCGGCTCCCAGTGTTCGTGGTGGCTGGGTGCCAACAGGCAGGCCCAGAATAAACTGGCAGCGAAGGGAGGGCGCAGCCCATCTTAGTGGGCGCCCGATGGGGGTCCTCGTTGTGTGCCTGTCCGCGCGCGTCTGCGCAGACTTGTGGGCCTGGGGGGTGTCCACAGCTCAGTCCTCAGCAGACTTCAGGGTTGAGGGGGTCATGGAGGTGGCCGGGGCTTTGGCTGGGCGGAGAGGGCGCAGGAGGGCAGGGGCCGTGATGGAGACTCTGGGAGGCCGGGCCGTGTCCCGAGAAGGGCCGGGGCAGGATGCGGGCGGATGGCTGGAGGAAGGCTCGGAAGGCCCAGGGTTCGGCACCGCTTCCCTCTTCCCGAGCCGCAGCGTCGTGGAGCCAGACCTTGGGCCTGCCCTGCCCCGAAGCCCCGCCCCGCACCCCCCCACCCCCCCACCCCACCCCCGCACCCCCGCACCCCCGACCCCGTGCCCGGCTCCCAGCGCAGCTTCCCACCTCACGAGGGAAGAGGGAATCTCGCCAGAGATCCATGTAAAAATAGATGTATTTCTGGATAAGCAGCGAGCCTGAAAAACGGCTGAGCCGGAGTCTGCTCCGCTGACAGAAGATCTATGTACTAAATTCCTCTTCAAAATCTGTTTCTCCGGAGACTTATTCTTGCTGGGCTCTGCCGAGCTGGGGGAAATTGTCGGCTTCGGGCGTCCCCTGCTCCACCCTTTCTCCCGAGTGACTGTTGCCCAGCGTGAGCTGTGGTCACATTAGGCAGCAGGGCAGCTCGGGCTCAGGCCAGAGCAGAAAAGTCAAAAGGAATTTGAATGGCAAAAAGGTCATTCTCATGCATCACCCTGGCTGGGTGGGAAGCCGGCGTGATGCAACGTGACACCCATCCTGGCGGCTGAGAGAATAAGTGATGGCTATATTTATGTTTCCATCTAAATGCATGGATCAAAGCAGACACTTTAATCTATTCAACAACAGCCCAAGGATTAAAAAGTTCCAGGCAAATCACACTCTTAAATTGGTAATATATTTTTGCTTGTCACTTGACAAATCATTTTAGAGAGTGACTTCAGGCCGGGTGAGGGACCTGGAGATTTGAACCTGGCTCCCTCCTGGAGAGGGTCCCAGCACTATAGGATGTGACATGAATCTGGTCACTTGCTGTAGTCCCTGTGAGTCCTCGCACAGGACTCCTGGAGGGGTAGGGGGAGCTAGTGGGGAGTATCAGGCCTATGGTCACATCTCAAAATGTGTTTTAATCTCCAAAAAGCCTAGCAGGTGGACATTATAACGACCCCCATTTTGCAGACCAGGAGAACCAGATGTGTGGCTTGCCCGGGTCACACAATAATAAGTGAGAGAGTGGGAAGCAAAGCTCACCCAACCCCAAGCCCAGTGCTCTTGTTCTGCTGGAGCTGCAATGACAGCAGAGGGCAGCAGAGACTGCTCCGTCAATTGCTCTGTAACTGTTGGCATGTTCCTTCACTTCCCAGTTTCCTCATCTGCAAAACGGGGATAATGATGGCATCCACCTCCTGGGGTTGTCATCAGGAGTAAATTAGATGACTCAGGGAAGGCACTTATAGCACGGTGTCTGACACATGGTGAGAACACATGTTTGTGCTGAGCTCTGAAGGATCGGACCAGACAGGAGTGTGTCTGGAGGCTGAGAAAGGAACTCAAAAGCATGACTTCTAAGGAATGGTTGAAGGAACTGGGGGCCACTGAGTCAGGAAGAGAGAAGGCAGCCTCCTAATGTAGGCTGGATTGTGAAAAGAAAGGGAGATTTGATTTGTTCCATGTGGCCCCAAGAGGGGAACTGGATCCTTAAGGAGACTGATGGATTTCAGCTAAAGAGAAGCAAGAACTTTCTCAACACCAGCGTTGGGCAAAGAGGAAATGATGAGCTCAGGATTCTGGGAGGTGTGCCGGTTAAGGCCGGACGACCCCTTGGTGGTGATGCTGTACCAATAGATATGACTGCCCCCGGCTTGGCATTTAGACCAGATTTCTTTAAATATATATATAATATATTTTATATATATATATATATAAAATATATGTATATTTAATATATTATATATATATATTTAAGGAGTTCTTTGTGTGTATTTCATCATTTAATTCTACTGATTTACGCTTGGCTCAGATCCCCACTAATTTTCAGGTATGCAAGGTGGCACGATGGTTCAGGAGTGGGCCGGGTGGTACGGGAATCGTAAGGCTGCTGCGCTGGACGGAGGCAAAGCCAGCTTTGGGTGAAGGAAGAATTCCTGCCCCCACTAGATATTGGCCAAAGTGGTCTGAGGAGCCGGGGTAGTGCCAACCAACGAAAGAACGGTGTGCTTGGAGTTCGGCAGACTTGGGTTTCCATCTGGCTCCATCTTTTAATATCTGTGTGTCCAGCTGAAAGTCTCCTAATCTCTCTGAGCCTCAGTTTCTCCACATGGGAAACTCTGAAAGCTTCCTTCCCTGTTCACGTTTCAGAGGCGGTGTGAGAATTGGGGAGAAGCTGGCCTTGCTGCTGCCTTGGCCTTGGGAAAGGGGCGCTGTTCCAGCAAGGGAAGGGGCGCTGTAGGCACCCCGCCCTCTGGCTGAGCCATATCCTTTCCGGGTGACCGCCGGTCCGCAAAGCCACCTCCCAGCGGCGTCTCGCCGGTTGCAGGGCGCATGCGCGAGCGTTCAGGGCGGGGCCAACGCGCTGGCGCGCGGCCAAATCGCGCCATCTGCCTAAGCGGAAATGTAGCGCAGGTGTGAGTTTGGGGGGCAGGTGATTGTTGACGGCTGAGCCAGCTCTCCCCGCATATGGTCCCGGGGAGGCGGCAGCGGCCCACGTGGTCCCCCGCCAGGGCCGGCGCTCTGCGCCCTCCTGCGCCTTCAGCCGGTTCCCGCGTGAGAGCCTCAGAGCAGCTAAGCCAGGGAGGTCAGGGCATTATCGGATTCGCTGTACCAGCGTGGAAACCGAGAACCAGAGGTTAAATCGCCGGTCCAGAGTCCGGGAGCCAGTCAGTAGTGGGCCTGAAGCAGCCCTCCAGGTCACTCGACTCTTAATTCCATTTTCTTCGCGTGACCCGCTGCGCCGTGCAGTTCAGCAAACATTTATGGAGAGCCTTGTGTGAGTCAGGCGCCGAGCTGGGTGAGCTGGGTGCTGGGGGTGCTGACCTGCGCTCTGACTCTGTTAATGGAGGGTGCAATTTTAACCCTCCGGTTTGGCCCCGAGGTTCCCAGTCATACCCCACAACCCAGTGTCAGACACCCAGGTACCTGAGGTGTTTCTCTGGACCACAGGTCTGGCCGGTTCACACCTGATGATTTGCTGGGCCAGACTCCTTGGCTTGCCGTGCAAGGCCTGTCTGAATCTGGCCTCAGTCTACCTTTGTGGCTCCATTCTTCCCTGTACCCTTCTGAACCCCTGGGTCTAGCTGCCCAGGTCGACCACCCACTGTTCTACAGCTGTGCTTGGGACCTCAATGCTCCTTTCCAGCCAGGAACTTGGCTTGTCAAAACCTACTGGTGAGTTCAGGCCCAGCTCAAGTGTGACCTCCTCCCTGCAGCTCTCTTTGATTTTCCACCCCTTCCTGATTCTTCCCCATCTACAAATGATTCCTTTGCCTGTGCTTCCTGCCCTTTGCACTGGCCTTTGTGATGACATGAGGCTGCATGGTACACAGTTCCAGTGTGCCTCCCCCACCCCTTACCTGCTGGATTGTGGGCTCCTCAAGGCCTGGGCCTGGATCTTACTAATCTATGACACCCCCCACCCCAGCTTGATGCCTGGCCAACAGAAGATGCTCAGGGACACAAAGGAGATGGTGTATGTGAAACTGTTTTGTAAAGTACCACACAGTGCTAATCCTGCTGCTGCTAAAACTGAAAAGTGTTTAAAAGCCTATGAAATAAGGAGGTTCATCTCAACTACCCCCAGTTTTTAAGTTATAGATGATTTTCATTATCAATTTAAAATCACAGTAATAACAATAGCTTAACATTTTAAAAAAATTTTTATTTATTTATTTTTAGCTGCATTGGGTCTTTGTTGCTGTGCGCGGGCTTTCTCTCTAGTTGTGGTGAGTGGGGGCTACTCTTCCATGTGGCGCATGGGCTTCTCATTGCAGTGGCTTCTCTTGTTGCAGAGCACGTGCTCTAGGTGCGCGGGCTTCAGTAGCTGTGGCTCGTAGGCTCAGTAGTTGTGGCTTGTGGGCTCTAGAGCACAGGCTCAGTAGTTGTGGTGCACGGGCTTAGTTGTTCCGTGGCATGTGGGATCTTCCCGGACTAGGGCTACGAGCCTGTGTCCCCTGCATTGATAGGCAGATCCTTAACCACTGCGCCACCAGGGAAGCCCTTCAATAGCTTAACATTTAGTGACCTTTTTGTGCCTGTGAGTATTAGCTATTATTATTATTGCAATAGGAATATATACACATGTACATAATCTTTCCATTTCTCCATATTAATTAAATGATCATTAGGACAATATTGAAATAAATGTTACAAATATTCAAATGTGCTTCAAGAAATTCTCAACAAAATGTCCCCCCGCCAAGTGCTTCTGTGACCCCTGGCTCTCAAGGGCCTCGGTGGATGGAGCCTGTGGTTGTCAGGTTTCCCTGCTAGGTCAGGAGCTAACCCCTGGCCTAGCAAGATACTCCACGTGCTGTGAATTTGTCCCTTTTTCCTAGGAGCGGAACCAGCAGGCCTCTTTTCCTTGCCTTTTGGGACCAGAAAGCAGTGAACCAGGATGGGACATGCCTCTTCAGAGTCAGACACACACAGGTGTCTTAAAGAGGAACATGCATCTCTGAGTCTGTCATCAAAATTTTTATTCCAAGTCTGCATGACATGAGGATTGTTGGATTTCTGTCCTTTCGGTGTTTATGGAGGACACAAAAAAGAATTACTATGAGTAAATAAACAGAAGATTAAAGGCCTTTCTCTATGGGGGCACCGTTTATGAGGCAGCAAGCCAGGAGACTTGTTTCTGGGATTTTGTGATGCTGCTGCAGCCGTGAACCACATCCCATTTCTGAGTTGTTGCAGTTGGAGCTCCTCAGCTTCTGAGTCTTCGCATCCAGAGGCTCTGATCTCAGCCCATGTGTATGTTCTGGGAGTGTCCCTGCCAGCACACAGGTGAGTATGGATGTGCGTTTCTCCCTGTAAATGTGGGTCTGTGTGTCTGAGGTGAGTGTGTGCACCATCTGTGCATGGGGGTGTGTATAGAGAATGTGTATTGGGGTGACTGTGAATCTTTCTAGGGGTGCAGATCATATATTATGGATGAATGTGCATTTGTATGCAGGGGTCTGTGTTTTTCAGTGTGAAAATGGGGCAAGGTGTAAAACCTTGGGTGTATTTGGTGTGAACAGGTGTCTGAGTTTGGGAGCATGGGTCTCTGTGTTCACAATGGAGTGTGGATGTGCATTTCTCAGCACGTGCCTCTGCCTGAGTGGGTGGGTGAGAGAGGGTCGTGGGTGAGTGGACACATGTGCACTGCTCATGTGTAGCTCTGCAGACAGGTTCCTGCAGACTCCATATGCCCAGCTCCTGTGGCTCCTCCTGGCTTGGTTGCTGCCTCCGGTCCCTTGTGGTTCTGCCTTGCTGGTCCACAGAGAGATCAACACCCTTCAAACCAGCTGCCTCGTTGGCTGTGGCTCACTCGGTTGGTCTCCCAATGCGTGCAGTTGCCATGGAAACCAAAGTAGATCTGTTTCTGTCTGCCACCAGGTCCCTGGGCTAGGGCAGCTGTGGGCCAAAGCCACCGTGGTGAGGGCTGGCTGGGAGGAAGCGAGGAGGGCTCTGGGGGACCGTCTGAGCCAGCTTCTCTTAACATCCTCTTGGAGCCTCTTTTCTGCCTCCAAACACAAGGACAGGTCCCTGCTGTCAGACAACTGGGATCAAAACAGCCCTGTAAGACAAGGGCCTGAGCAGTTGACTTTTTCACACACATACAAAATCCTTTCCTGAAAAAAAAAAATTCCACATTACTATGCATGTCATCTGTATACCATTAATTCAGTGCCTAAAATAAAGTGGCTTTTAGGAGAGAGCTGGTGCTATCTGATAGGAGAACTCTGTACATGCTTTTGTGGCCTGACTTTATAATAGGCATCTGCTCAGACTTCGCTGCATTGGGAGAACTTGAACATAACAGTGTTAAGCATTGAAGAGATCACAGATCCTGTTTAGTTTTGAAAAACTGAGTAGCAAGCACAAACCTGGCTGTGTAAGCAAAGGGCGATACATTGTTAGGGAGACGCATAAAAGTGGCACAGCCATAACGCAAAGCTAGGGAATGATTAATAGGAGAGTTAGGATAGTGGTTAACTCCAGTGGTTAATGGGGAGGGTCACAGGAGAGGGGGCTGGGGAAATGGGGGATTCTAAGGCACTAATAACATTGTATGTCTTAACCCAGGTAGTGGAGACTCAGGTGACTGTTACTCTTTTCACAGCACATACATACTGTTCTGTATGTGTGATGCCTGCAATAGCAAATCACCCATGCTGAGCCTGCGGCCCTGGCTTGATCCGAGTAGGTGGTAAGAGGCAGTATGGGGTCAGGGGAGGAGGACAGGGCAGGAATCACGCTTTTATGGATGGGTTCTGGAGCTGGATCTAGCACTGGCCAGCCGGTATGTGACCTCGAGGAAGCCTCTCAACTTCTCCCAGCTGCAGTTTCCTTGTCTGTAACATAATGATGAATGCATTGGACTTATTCAAGTAGAAATTAGTTTTGAGCTTTCTTTGTGTGGGGCACTGTGCTAGGAAACAAAGTCATGTACAGGTGTCACGGGAACACATGATGGAGTGAGGTGAGCGCACTGGAAGGGGCTCGATGATGATGACGATGACAGGAGAGGCTCTGGGGGGACAGAGATGGGAGAGAGACGGCAGTGGAGGAGGTGAGTTTTGAATTGGGTCTTAAATGATGGGCCAGATTTCAAGTGGCTGAGACAGGGAAGGAGGAAATGAGGAAGGGGAGGCTCAGTGCTATCAAGGGGGAGAGGTACTTGGAGAAAAGCGCAGACCTGTGCGGCTGGAGTGCCAGAACTTGGAGGATGGCTGTGGCGTGGTATTTACAATGAGAAACTCCCCTGATTGGGCTGGAGAGGAAGATAACTGGCCCACCTGGGGGAAGGGGTAGGGGAGAGGGAGCGGGAAGGTCAAGTGCTGTTGCCTGTCCCCCTGTCCTGGATGCAGGTGACCACTTGGTCCCCAGGACCCTGATGCTCAAGACTGTGGGTCCCTGGAGACAATCTGGACACCCTCACCTCTGGGCCTCTGCATTGGCCAGACTGTGAGAAAAGACCCCTCCCTCAGATGAAGGCCTTTGGCCCCTGGGCACATGAGGCCTCCACACCCCATACACATCCAGACAAGCCTCACGCAAACCAGCTGCCGGGATGGGTGTGTGTGGCAGCAACACTCTTTGGAAAGTTCCCAGGGACAGGACAGCACTGGCCAGGATGCCTTGGACAGCCATCAGGCTGGCCTCACCCTGCCCTGCCCAGCACCCACACTGGCCTGTTCCCTGTAATTCTGAGCGCGTGGTAATAAGGGAAGGAGGCCTGGATTAGGGACCAGAGAAGCTGGGTCCACATCCTGGCTCCATCTCTTCGGCGGAGGGACAAGTCTCCAGCCTTCTCCGATGGGTCTGAGGTGTCCTTGTCTCCAAAGTGAGGAGTGGACCAGTAATCACACAGGAACTTTCCATGTAGGACAGTTTTCCCCTTCCAGGGGGGAATGACTTGCTTATCTCCGACCCTCACTTGCTGGGCATCATTTTCAGGAAACCATGCCGCTTTGTCTTGGTGAAGATGGTATCTTTCATTGTTGAAGTGAGTAAAGTGTTTTTGATGTTGCCCGAGTATAGCGTCAGGGCCCCAGAACACCTTCTCCCTGGGGGATGCCTGAATGATGACTTGCTGGAGTGCCCCCTGGGGAAGCAAGGTCACTTGTGTTAGATTGTTCTGGGTGTACAGCACCTGGTAGGCAGATGAGCTTTGTGAGCAAGCTGGGAACTGCAGGCCGCCGGAGGTGGGGGCCAGGAAAACCAAACAAGAGGGTTTTCCCCTGACTGTCTGCTGCTGAGAATCCAGCGTTGGAGGTGGGAGGTCCCCATTCAGGGACCACTCACCCCAGCCAAGGTGGTGTCCACCGCACGGACCATGACAGCTCCTAGGGAGGGAGTCTGATGCCCGTCATGTATGTACCCACTGAACACGTGGTAGGTGCTCAGTATTTATTGAACGAATGTCTTTGGGGCAAATTCAGTGTCACTGATATTCTTGAATTTGATGATTGGTGAAGATAGGAGGAGGTAGCCTGGTGGTGTCAGGGGTCCACCATCACTACTCTCAGTGGCAGAGAGCATGGATTTTGGAAACAGTTAAGGGTCTGAGTCCTGGCTCTTATATTTACTTGCTGTCTGACCTTGGGCTTCTGTTATCCTCAGTTTCTTCATCTCCAAACTGGGTGCCTTTAGTACCTGTGCACAGCACATGAGGATCAGATGAGATGAGTCGTGTAGAGGGCTCAGCAAATGCCAGTTACTGCTCAGTCCACAGTAGATGGTGGCATGTGCGGTGTGGTCACTGGGGTGAGAGGGGTGCAGTGTGGAGTGGAAGTGGCGGAGGGGGGAGTCTGGCAGGAAGGCAGGTGGGTTCTTGGCGAGGCTTGTTTGTCAGTCAGGTGGAGGGCAGCGGGCGGTCATCAGGTCAGTGCTGTGTGTGAGAAAAACAAGCTTGGGCGAAGGGGAGAGCCATGCTTAGCATCAGGCAGGATGTTCAGTTGGCCCGTTCATCCCTTCGTGCACTCATTCACTCAGCGAAGGTGCGCTAATCACGTAATCATCCACGTTGTTCTGAGCACGATTCTAGGTACCAGGGATACAGCAGTAGCGTAGGGACTTACTCTGGTGAAATCCCGTGGAATACTTTTATCATTCAACAAATGTGTTTGGGGCATTTGTCCATTGCATGATTTTGTATTTATCTGCCTTGTGCTTTCTAGTAAGTCTTTTTCAGAATGTTCTAACTTCACCTGGGCAGACTATGAAGAAAAGGGAAAAATCTGTCCATGGTTAGATCAGAAGAGATGGGGGGTGTGGGGACAGGTCACGTCATGAGACTAGGGGGGAGTGGTATCGCAGGTGGTCCAGCCCCTCTGGAAGGCCTGGAGGGAGGGGGTTCCTAGCTTGATGCTGATGGGAAATTCAGGCCAGGAATTCAGCCGCGCAGCAGATCCCTCTCCTCCCTGTTCCTGCTCCAGCTGTCTGGGACCCTGCATCTCATGGCTGACATGGCTGTGCCTGGCTGACTCCAGATTTTACCCAGTTCTTGACCATCACTGGCCTCCCCCGCAGCCTATGGCTCCTGAGCCTCCCCCCTAAACTTACCTTACCCCGAAAAGAGCAGCAGCATCAGGACCAGAAAGAACCACACGCAGCCCCTTGGAGATAGCCCCTCTCTCAAGGATCAAGATTAATCAAGGCGAGTAGAATTGGCAGTTATGATGATATGGTCCAGTGTGGTGTTCTGGTAAATTCTTGATTCCTGTCTACAAGGATGCTTTGATGAGTGTCTTAGGAGATCCCTCCAAGTTGTGGCATATCCACAGGGCCTTGTCAGTAACCCTGAGAGCAACACCCCGTCCTGGAGATGCTGTATTAGTCAGGGTTCTCCAGAGAGACAGACCAATAGGATATAGAGATTTGTCCATTTATTTATTATATTTATTGGCTCGTGCAGTTATAGAGGCCAGGAAGTCCCACAATCTGCCGCAGCAAGCTGGAGAACCAGGAGGGCCAGTGCTGTAATTCAGTCCAAGCCTGGAGGTCAGAGAATTAGGAAGCTGATGGTGTAAATCCCAGTCTGAGTCTGAAGGCCCTAGAACCAGGAGCTCTGGTGGATGTCCCAACTCAAGAGGAGAGCAAATTCACCCTTCCTCTACCTCTTTGTTCTGTTCAGGCCCTCAACAGATTGGTTGAAGCCCACCCGCATTGGTGGGGGCGACCTTCTTTACTTAGTCTACTGATTCAAACACTAATCTCTTCCGGAGACACCCTAATAGACACACCAGAAACAATGTTTTGCCATCTGGGCATCCCTTAGCCCCATCAAGTTGATGTAT